ATTGAGAAGAGTACTTCCGTCTGAGGGCTGGGTAGCGTTTCCCTTAGCTGGGTGAGTCAGAGCCAGCCTTCCCTCGGGTATCACCACATCCAACCGGACATGTCCGCCTGTCAGAACGGTTGGATTGTCAACAAACAAGAGGTGGCACATCTTTCCCTTGTGGCTTACGCATTTCCCACCCCCAAACCAAACCAGCTCCTCAGACAGACTGTGGAGGCCACCCCTGCCCACCCAGCCTGCCATCAGGTACCCGCTTGCCAGGACTGTGGGACCCCAAGAGGAGACGGCGGACTTACCGACCCTCCGCCGAGAAGACAGTGTGTGACGGGGGTGCCACTACTGAGCTATGGAACCAGGAGGGCCAGGCGGCTTGGGTGGATTCCCTGGCTCGGGGACAGCCCTCAAGGGCACAGAGGGACCTGCAGAGGCCGAGGAAGGAGAGAGAGCCTCGTGACATTCGGGAACAGTCACACACATGCCTGTATGGCTGCAGCTCTCGGGGGAGTCAGCCAGGCACGCAGACGTGAACGTCAATGTTTGCCCTTCTGATAGAATCCCCTGCCCGCTTCTGGCTACTGTGTGGGGCACCAGGTGTGAAAATGCCACCGGTGGGGAGGGAGGGTCTTCCTCGTGGTGGGTTTGCCATGACCCGTACCCTTGGTCCACCCCCCCCACCCCCCCCATCTCCCATGACCACTCCAACAGTTATTTATTTCCCTTGGAAATATTTGAGACACATCCCCGCCGCCGCCTTGTTTGTGCAATAAATTTAATCTGTTAAGCTTGTTTTATAAACTAGAGGTCAGCTTGAGTCCAGCCCCTCAGAGTTTATAGGGTTTGGCCAGACATCGGCTACGGGCCCGGCCAGCCCTCCTCAGGTCTTGATTGACTTCTGCGGTTCTGTGTGCTTATCATTTGCCCACACATTTCGGTGCGGGGTGTCTCCACTTTCCTTCCAGGTCTGAGGAGTTGGGGAAGATGGGGTGGGGGTGGGGGGTGAGTTACAGTAGGAAGTCTCAGCCACATTGCAGGTCCCTTTGGTTTCTGGAGACCACAAAAGCTGTATTATTATTATTATTATTGTTCTTGCTTTAAGGTTTTGGCAAAGCTTTTTCTAAATCACAGATACAAGACTTTTTTGTCTTAATCATTCCCACTTCTCCTGACTGGGTTTTTAATCTTGATGAGCTATAAATACTCGGCGTCGGAGGGTGGTGTGTTTTTGAACAGGGAGGGAATCGCTTTTCCCTCGTGTAGGTTTTGATTATAATTACCTCTGCCACCAAGCGCCAGGCTCACCTTCGCTTCAGTCTCTGCTGAATAGACGGGGGGGGGGGGCGGGGGGTGGGGGGGCTCGTTTGTTTATCCTCCCATTCCTGAGGCAGGAAACGGCTTCCCCTTCAACAATGGGGACAGAGGGACTCAGAAGGAGGCGTGTTTTTACAAGACTTCTGTGCTGTCCTGGGTAGGAAAAGGGCCTGTCATCTGCACAGCACCCTGTGGGGTGTTGTCCGAGTTCAGCTACTTGCAGAGTGCCAGCCCCCGGTACCTCGGTAGATGACCACCTCCAGCCCCTCCTTCTGAGCAGGACTGAGCCGCACCCCACAGACACGGGTGTGCCACGGGACTCAGGGTCACCAGCGGGCAGAGCGCTTAACTCTGCTGGAGAGAAGCAGGCTAGGTCTCTAGCTGGTTACCCAGGAGTCCAGCGCCCAGATGGAGCCTGACTGGTTCCTGAAGCCAGATCCCTTCATCCTTGGGAGGCCTTTCCTGGACTCCTTTCCTGCTCACCTCTAGTGGCCCTGAGGTACTACAGTGCGTTCTCTCTCTGGTCAGAGGGACCCTGTGACTTGGTACAGAGCCCCATTCCTTGGCGGGGCTCTCTGGGGCACAGTGGGTTGCACACACACCGGCCCCTGACCTTAGAGAGCGGCACCGGGGGGAGGGACAGGCAACGGAGGTAGTTTAATTGGTACTTCTCAGATCTCAGCGTGTTCAAGTGTTACGGGGCGCTCAGTCGTGGCCACAGAATCGGGCAGCACTGGTGTTGGGGCAGCAGTGTCCAAGGTTGGCAAAGCAGTGTACACGGTGAGTCGTCCAAGGTTGGCAAAGCAGCGTACATGGTGAGTCCTGGCCCGCCGCTCCTGCCAGTGCGCATGCGTCTGTGTTTGTGGAGGTGTTTTTTTTTTTTTTTTTTGTTTTTTTTTGTTTTTGTTTTTGCAGGATTGTTGTCTTGTTTTGCTCACCATTTCGTCTCTGCTCCCTGCTTTTGTATTTGGCACGTACCGTAAAGCTCAGCGGAGACTGTGAACACGCACAGATGCTGTGGGCCAAGCTAAGACGAGCCGTCCACCCTTCCTGGGGAGGCATGGCGGGTGGCTCTGCTGGAGGGCCAGACGACACCTCTCGCTTCGCTCTGCTGGGGGACCGGGCGCCTACGAAGCAGCTCGGGAAGCTGGGGGTCAAGGGTCAAGAGGCAGGAAGATGTTCCAGGCTTGGGAAGGAGAAGAAAAGAGCGGATTGAGCCAGCATCGGGCAGTTGGTTGGTTCACCAGGACGAGAGCTGGGGGCTAACCAGAAGTGGAGATGGCAGTTCAGGGCCTCGATGGATGAGTAAGGGAAGCTCAGGGCACAGGGAGGGTCCCGCAGCTCCTTTGACTCGGGCTACCGTCTGTGCCATGCTGGGAAGCCTCCCCCAGTGATCCGAGCTGCCACGGAACATCGATTAGCTGTGCGTTTCTGTTCCGTGGGAGGTTTTCTCTTACGCCTTGTCCTCCAGGAAGCGTTCCTGTAGGGTTTGCTGAATGACTTCCGAAGAGCTCAGCCCGGCTGCTGTAGGGGTCCTCTGCTGTCTGTGAGGAGGCTTGGGGGAGGGAGGGAAGCTCTTCTTACCTGAATGCGGGTCAGGTACTGTGGTGGTCAGTTGCAGAGACCGGCCAAGACAGACTCCACCGCAGGAGTCCTGGATTGCGTGTTTACCAGATCAGCTGTGTTCTGCAGCAAGGGCCTGGGCCTTGGGGCGGGAACTCCCAGACGTGACAGCACACTGATTCACGCCTCCTGTCAGGCTCCATTCCCTGACAGGACGGCCAGAGGGCGTGGCGCTTCAGCCTGAGCAAACTCTGTCTTGTGAAGTACTGTGGAGGCTGGGGGACTGGGGAGGGCGTGAGGGGAGACAGACGGTCAGTGCAGGTTTTTGTGGGTTACTCATTCCAAATCCCCGTGTCTATCTCAAGGTCAAGAGTGGCTTAGAGGTGACTGCCCAGGAACATTAAAGAGCTCTTGTAGGGGTCAGGGAGATGGCTCAGTAGGTAGGAGAGTTCACTGTGCAAGCCCGAGGCCCCGAGTTCAAACCAACCCCCAGAGCCCACACCACAAGAAAGCCAGGCGTAGCCATAACTCAGTGCTGGAAGGTGGGGGCAGAAGGGTCCTGGGAGTCAGGTGGCCAGAACAACCCTGTCCTAAGGGAAAAAGATGGAAAGTGATGGAGGAGGACATCAAGTGTCCTTTTCTGGTTTCCACAGGTGTACACACACACACACACACACACACACACACACACACACACACACACACACACACACACTGCATGACCCCACATAAAAAGCCAGGTGTGGTGGCAGGTGCCTGTAACCCCAGCACTGAGGTTATGGGCAGGAAGCGGGGAGGATCTCTGGGGCCCAGATACCACACTTAAGACCTTTCCCTAGACACAAAAAACCTAACTCGTTATAAGAAACTTTGATTCAAGGCCAGCCTGAGGTAGATACGATAGGAAGGCTGTCTTTTTTTAAAGCTCTGTGTGTGCTTCCCTAGCGGGGTTTGATCTTGATAGACTTAAAGGTTCACTCAGAGAGTACATCCTATGTGTTTGGACAAACACAGAGTGACCCGATAAGAACTTTTTCTTTTTTTCTTTTCTTTTTTTAAACCCCGTCTGGTACCGTTTGATCATTGTTCCATGTAAAACTGTCAACTCCCATCTCATCTGTTTCTAACACCCCAGAAAACAGCCACGGCAGTATCAGAATGAGGACTTAGGAAGGCTGATGCTGGAGGCAGATTCAAGAGGCCCGGCTTTTCCGTGTGTTTAGATGGCAGGTCACCGCGGTGTCTTCAGTAGTCACCGGTCCTTGGCCTCACTCTCGTGGTTCCCGGATGTGCTCACCCACCTGTCACAACCACTTGGGGTCCTTTGATCTTCCGAGCTGTTTAAGGGGGTTGTGGGGAAAGTGTTCGCTGTGTCTCTTGGGTAGAAGCTTAGCTGTGAATAAACCTCCGGGTGTGATGAGTCACTGTACATACTGTTGAGCACCTACTGTGTGTGCGGATGTTTTCACGCCACTGCCTGCTGCCGTATGACGGTCTTGTTGTGGTAAATATTTGCTGGATGTGGAACGTGTGAGTGTTTGTTTAATCATTCAGCCTTGCAAAGCCATTACAGCTGGATTCTGGGAGAGAAATCTGAGGCTTGGAGGGGATTAGGAGTAAGCTTCCTAAACACAGCTAATAGCTTCACAAATCCAGAGCACCGAGCTGCATTTGTATGGGCGGGTCTGACTCTGTGACTTGGCTGCCAGGGTGCTCCTGGCAGGGAGGGTCACATGGTATCCTTGAGACCGCCCTTCCTTTCAGTGAGGGGAGAGGGGCAGATAGGGCTTAGTGACGGTCCAGATGTGGGAGAGCCATCTCTCCGGGTTCACTCACCTCTGTCTGGAGTGCTGTGTTCAGCAGGTCATGTGAGTAGACGCAGCTTGTATGCTTGAGGTGACTGAGACACATGAGTCGGTGTTCTGTAAGACCGCTGCCTGGTACACTCTGACAGACAGTTTTCCACACCGGGCCAAGACTCACCCCATAGAAGCAGCCCGGGGCCTTGTAGTAGGACCCCTCGTCCGTCATTCCCCCCCCCCCCCCGTCCCCGAAGGTTCTCACTGCTGCTGTCTCTAGTGCCGGTCCGTGTGCCACATGTTTTAATTCATATATTCTCTGTATTTTAGGCTTTGGACGTGGACCGGATGGTTCTCTACAAAATGAAGAAATCTGTGAAGGCAATCAATATTTCTGGGCTGGGTGAGTCCTCCCTGTTCCCTTAGGGTGGTGGGAGGGTGGGGTGGCTCCGTGAAAACACTGCATTTAAAGTCCTGTCTGGTCACCTCCCCCACCGAGCGTGCAGTGAACGGGAGACTCTGGGACACCTGCTCCAGAAGTAGGACAGGAGTGTGCCCTCTTGTCTTGTGTCTGCCCTCCGCCTGAGCCCGCTCCATCAGCCTGGCTGGCAGAAACTCCACCTGTGTCTGAGAAAATGAGTAAATACACAGGCGTAACCCACCAGCTACCAAGTAATACTTGATTGACTTATAAAGGCACGGGGGGGGGGGGGGGGTGTGGAAATCCACCTCAGAACTGGGGAGAGCTCCGTTGCTAGCCTGTTCGCTTAGCCCAGGAAAGGAAGCCCCGGTTTGGTTCTCAGGGGGCCACGGTGCACGCCTGTGATCGTGACGCTCAGGAAAGTGGAAGCGGGAGGCTCGAAAGTTCAAGGGCTATCCTCACCTACATCGTGGGTTAGAGGCTAGCCTGGACTACGTGAGACCCTGTCTCCCGTAGAAGAGTCCCCGAGACACTTTTGGCTTGAAGGCGGCAGGCCGTGCAGACGGTGGGCGAGCTGCCCCCCGCGCAAATCCTGTTAATGATAGGAAATATTTTTGAAAAGTCACCAAATGTCTGTGCAGTTATGTATCAGAAAGGAGGTGGCAGCTTTCAAAAACCAGAAATGGTGATGGCGACCGAGGCTTGGAAGAGGACTGGTGGATCCTGGAGCAGAAGGCTAGCCAGCCTGTGGGAGAGCAACCCTGCTAAGGCAGAGAGTTTGGGTGCCTGCGTCTGGGCCCAGAGGGGCGTTGGGGCCCCCAGATACCTGTCCTGTGACCCCTTCACCTTGTGGTGTCTCCTTTTAGTCAAGAGTAGTGATTGGAGCAGGAGAACGAGGTGGTGTCAGCAGGCTGTGGAACCATCTAGAAGCTCACATCCCAACTAACCCTACTCAGAATCGTGTGGGCGTGACTGTGGGAGCTGCCCTCCGCTCATACCCGGCCGACAGCAACAAGCCGTGATGGCGGGGAATCTGGGAGGCTGTCTCCACTGAGGGCGTGTGCCTTGAGCAGGGCTCTGTAGAAGTACAGAATGGATAGAAGGAACACACATGACCGAGGGGATCTGTTATGGCTTACACAGTATGGGCTGGGTGGTCCAACAGCGGCTGTCAGCACATCAGAGAGGCCGAGGACCAGTAGATGATGCTCAGTCCATGTGGCTGGATGCCTGAGCAGCCCTTATCTCGAGCTGAGAGCCTGGAGAATTCCAGGAGAGCCGTTGGTCTTCAGCCTGAGGCAGGAGCCCCAAGAAGCTGGGTTTTGGTAGTCAGAAGGATGGCGCAGAGTAGGTGGATCATAAAGGGCAAGGTGGGTAGGCCCAACTAACAACAGCTTTTCCCTCGGACCTCCTTATGTCCTGGTCACTGCCAGAAGGTACCTCCCACAAAATTAGAGACTTTGTGTCCTAAGTAAGTCGTATGTGATGGACTTGGGTCAGGAGGCTCAATACCAACCAAAAGCCCAGGCTTCACTCCGATCCAGTAAGCCTTCTGTCAGGCCCAAAGGACAGCCTGATTCTCACACTTGTGTGAAGGGCTGGAAGGTGGTCCTCTGCCTCGGACCTTGTCCTGCCAAAGGCAAGGGGGGCGATACTATCTTTTGAACACTGTGTATTGTGTGAACCTGGACAATACACGACTTCTGTTAGACAGTGGGAAGGGCCTGCAGATCGGAGCTGTTCCCAAGGGGTGGGAAAGGTTTCCAAAATGCTGTATTCCTGCTGGCGTGGGGCTGTGCTCGGCGGCTGTTCAGTCACAAAGCCACTGCCCACCTAAGCATGTCTAGCATCCTGTCGCTCCTCAGGAGGCTGAGAGCTCACTCAAGGACAGGATGCTCAGTTTTGTCCACAAGTTCCAGATTTCACCAAGTATCTCAGGAGAGTTTGATTTTTAAGTTTATAGTCTGAGGAATGTTATGTGCATTATATAAAAGGGATACTGTATTTTGATCAGATTGAAAACAGTGATTTTTTTTTTTTATCATCACACGTTGAAAAGATTTTTTTTTTTTTTTTT